GGTCGGTCGGCGCGGGCCGGGCCGCCTGACGCACTTTCCCCCCGATTCCGCAGAGATTTCTCTGGCTCGGGAGCCTCCCCCTGCATTTATGCGTCGCGGATCTGAAAAGCTGGTTCATAAAGAGACAAGACATCTAGAGAAATACCTTTTATTAGCTAAAACGGGACACACACACACACACACAAAACTGCCAAGAAAACAGCTTCAAGAAGTACGCCTTTTAAATATAGAAAAACTTTTGTCACTAACCACATCGTAACAGCTATGTGAACGTGTAGCCATTCAGAGCGTGTAATCAAGGAGCACATCCTTCCCCGTTTAAAATCTAGGCAATTTCTACCTGAATTCATGCAGAGAGAAGGCTGCCTCCATTATAAAACTGGAGAACAGCCAGGTTTATAACTAGTTAGTAAATAAGCTTCCACCAAAACAGTGATACAGAGTATGCACATGTCGCTTGCAGGGATCCACAATCAAGTAGGCGAAAGTCTGTTCGTGGCTTTTGCTTGAAGGGTAACATAGGCCATTATCATCCTGAAATGAAGTAAAAAAAAAACCAAACAGCGTTAGCAACAACATGGATACCCATGAGAGAATTCATAAAATTTGAATGAAATGTATAATTTTCTTCCAACTGTAACGGTTTATTTCATGGCAAAACAGAATAAATACACCATAGTTTATTTAAGCACCATGAGGATCCTGACATGACAAAATGCACAGTAGTTCTGTCTGACTAGTTCCAATAACCTTGAGGTAAATGTAATACTAATATAAAATGTAAAATTAAACATGTAAGCATGTGTTCACACAATTGGAGCCTAAAATACAGATGATTCAATATACAACAGTCCCATCATGTTTCCTTTGAAACGGAAAAATATTTAGAGACTCTATATTAATACATAAAGCTTGTTCAGTAATTCTTTTCCACTTAACATTTGCTAATGCATCTGTTCAGTTTCAAATATTTACATTTAAGGAAAACCCTCATCAGAGCTCTTGTTAACAACTTTGAACTGTTACTGAAAACAGCTTGTGTGCCAATCCTCAGAAAGGGTTTGAAGGGAATCTAGGCACCTAGCTCCAAAATCCTCATTCTGAAAAAACACGTTCAGCTGACAACCAACACAAGAACGGGGCTCTTCAATTTAACATCCTACATCTGCACATGTCCGTAAAAGCTTCAGCGTTGACAGGGCATCACAGCCTGACACACGCTTCAAATCCAGTAGGGATCCAGAAACTAGATGGGGGGATTTTTGGAGGGCTGGGGTTTTTTTTCATTCATTCAGTCTGGTAATTGAACATCTAAAAGATCAACAAATATGTTAGCTGACATCTCCTTTCTTTTAAAACACATAACAGTTTCCTCCTGCTCCCCAACACCTTTATACAACAGTTGAAGAGATGTAGGTTCTGTTCCATTTTGCCTGAGGGAAATTGCTATATTGCATATATTGTCCATTTTCTCCAGGAAAATTTTAAACTCCCGGACTAGAAACTATTCCAGATTAGAGGCACGTCTCTCACACTCTTTTGTTGAAGCTGTCTTCCTTTGCATAAAATAATCCATCTTTTTTTGGACCAAGTAAAGATGAAAACTGCAACCTCTCTCAGTGGTTAAGGCAGTCAGCTTAGAAGGAAAAGGTCTGGGTTCCAATTCCTGCTCCAAGGACCACTTGTGAATTTTATCCAGTAGCTGTTACTGGCACCCCATTTTCTCTCCTGTTATTTCAAAGAGGATGAACCCCCTACGATATGTTCTGGTGTCTTCCTTTGGGGGATTATTCAAGACCATAAATCTTAAATTAAGATAAGCACCACCATAAAAGCATTGTTTAAGACAGGTAGAGATTTGATAATGTTTATTCACAGCATTTTCCAATGGTAGTCAAATGCCGCAAGCTAAAAATAGCATTCTATTTTTAAGCAACAGAGCATACAAGCTCTGTAGTTCCAATTTTAAGATGCCTAGCTGTCTTCAGGTGTTTTTTAGGGATATATGTGTATCAAATACTGGATTCTCAATTGCAGTAAGGAGAGCAAGCTTTAAGATTTTACAGTACTCAGCATCACAATGCCTTTGGAGTTCGATCCAAAAATAACCTAAACTCATGCACGAAACCAAAAATAGCAAGAGAAGACCAACATCAAGATGTAATTGCTAATTAAACTTTTTTCCCATTGCTACTGAAGATCCCACTCCTGCAGTCCTTATGGAATCGACTGATGTCAGTTGAGGTTTTGACTGTTTAAAGGTGGTGTTAGCACACTAAAAATTTGTTCAACAACTCAAGAACAAAAACGAGTTAAGTTCTGGTGATGAGGCATTTCAAGAAACTCCAGAATATACTAAACCTGGTATCAGGAAAATAATAAATATAATCTAATTAAATGAAAAGGGTTCTTAAAAAATTTTAATTAGTAAAAGAGGTCATAAAACCCCTAAAATACTTGAGCATAAAGGCTCTGGAATTTACACAGACTTACTCTGGATTTTAGAGCAATAGGGTGCATGTACACGAATTAAGAATCATACCAATTCCACCTGCAGTGTGGACTTCAGTTCAGAGATGCAGGGGGTGTAAGGATTGATTTACTGATGTTAGAGTAGGATCATTTTATTTTTTCTTTGTAGGAACACAGATAATCAGCTGATGATTTAAGAGTACATATACATAGCATAATGCACAGCATAATACAGAAATAAAGATACTGCTGAACATCTCTCAAAACTGCATCATTTCATCAACTTTTTTTTTTAAAACACTTTTTGAATAAACTATGCATTACACTGATTTCTAACACTGCCATAGTTCGGGTTCAGGTAAAGAAAGTTCTAAAATACCAGTTAGCATCCAAATAGCTGTAAGAACGTGTCAGTGTATGCAAGCCCCAAAGCTCTCAGGGGTATTTGGAGTTCAACAGAGTACTTGGTCACAAGATTTAAAATTAGTTCTCTTGTGATGCCCAGGTCTATCGAGTTTTGATGCTAAACAGATCTACAGACATTTATAACTACACCTTAATACCTTGAAATATTTACATCTCTAATAGTGTGCTTTTTTAAATATTGTTTCCAAAACAAGGGCTTCTTAGCCATAGCATAAAAACCAAATAAAAAGGAGAGGATGGTGTCAGGATGCTGTTACATGAAGTTCTTAATTCGTGGTTCCATTTGTACTTGTGCAAATATACAAGTACAGTTATTTGTCCATTTATTAATCCAGATTGCAAAAATGTGTGTTCTTCTAGCTCTCAGCTGCTCTTCAAGTCACTTTTACCAGAACAGCTTTTTTTTATTGAAATCAGGCTAAGACGGTATGTCCATTTCTTTTAGACACAAACCAAGAAAGCATGGCTTAAAAATTGTCAGCTCAGCATTAAGATTATAATAACACACTCTACAGTTATTTACCAAATGAATTCAGAATCTAAATCTACTGCAGAAATGTAGTTATCTCCTTGAGAGAAACTTTTCGTCACAAGCACAAGACATTTGTACTCCAGTAGGTGCCCTTCCTGTAATTTCCAAGTAGAGTTTAAAGAGTTTTGATCCACAGAGCCATCAAACAATCTAGACATACCTGTTTAAGCCTTCCTCTATTCTGAGAGAAAATTCTTCGGGATGTTCTTTAATGGAAACCAGAATTTCAGAATTCTCCTTCACCTCACAAATTTTCAGAATGTCCAGTAAAGCCCAATTTTCCCCCAAGGCTATAGGGAGGATAGCTTGCTCTGTATTTACACTGGATTTTCTTTTGTCCATCCACTTTTTTGTTCTCAAAAAGTTGCTGAAGTTTGTCTTTTTTTTCTTTTCTTTTTTTTTTTTAATACTGATGATATTTACCATATGGCAAACACAGTTAGGGGAGCTCTTAAATATCATGCGTCTACCTAAACATAGAAATCTGCAAAGTTCACATCAATACATTTGATTCAGAGATGGGGAGGAAACAGTAATAACAGAAGATCAAGTTATCAGGGTTTCGCTTTTTTATTTTATATTTATTACAGTCTGCAGCCCGGTAGAAAGGTAAATTTTGATACACCCATAAAGTGCTTATTTTCAAAAACCTTTCAAAAGCCTTTTATGAATCACATGGTACTTAAAAGATGATGACCCACAGATGAACAACTGGGCTATTGGCAACTTACAGGGAAGTTTGTGCAGTCTGAAATGACATCAGCTGGTTCTTTTGAAAGTGGGTGCATTATCTGACATTTAATTATCACATATTCTGGTTACTCAAGAAGAATTTGGAGTAGTTCATCCTAGTGTAACAATTAAATGACAGATATGCTGAATCTAGTAAACACACAGCCCGTTCTCAAACTTATCTTGATGGTAAATGTATGATTTTGCAAGAGAAACAGATAGGAATGAGACTTGACAAGGGAGGGGAAAAGAGGTTAGCAGTCATCTCACCGCCCCAGCCTTTTTCTGTACTAAACTTCCTTGCAGTCTTTACAGAAACATGCAATACGAGCTATTCAGAAAGCTTGAGCAACGTTTCTAAAAACAGAACTATACAAAGTCAAGAGTGGATTCTTAATCCTTACTGCTATCTCAAGTAGATCTAAAACCAGAATTACTCAGATCTAAAGATATGTTTTCTTCATAAACTAGTTTCTGGATGACTATTAATGACTTCAAGTGTAATCCAGTAAACCTATTTTTAGTGAGCTACCAAATAAAACTTTAGTTAGTGGTTATTGATGAAGAGTTAGTAAAGAGGACGAGAAAGCAGGATGAGATCAGGGAAAGAGTTCATGAATAAAAAATGACAACAACTATGGAAAAATAACCCTTTAAAATGGAATATTATGCTTTCTTTGTGTAAATGTCAATTCATTATTTTCATGTTACGCATGTTACTTCCAGTAAAATCCTGCACCAAAAAATTATCAATACTTACATATGCAGACACTCTGAAGACTGTAGAAATAATACGTATTTCTTTTGTTTCAGGATTCTTTTGAACACTGAAATACAGGGGAATAAAATACATACTTAATGCGTACAGTAAGCACTGGTTATTAGAGTCCTTCATTTACTAAATACATTTTTAACATATGCACTGTGTTCTCACTCGAATTTGATCAAGTTCAAATTAATAGTTAAAATTCAACTCATGTCACATTGACCATGAAAAGGTATGTTGACCATTGTTAGAGAACATGGATATTATGATATTTTACTGAAAACTAATGAACGTATCTAGTCATCTGAGTTGGTTTCACTGTTTTCAGCTACTAAACCACAGCAATATTACCCAGGCCTAGATGACTCTAATACAAAGTTTGCATTTTGATAGCTATGAAAAGTTATTCAGCTAAACAGTTCGTAAAAATCTTTTCACGTATTCTTTGAGAAAAAAACGTGAGAAGTGAACTGCATCTTAATATAGACTACAAGAAGTAGCAGCAGTACCAGTGAAGAAATGCAGACTTTAGCTCATTTTTAATTACTATATAATTATAGTTTAGGTTCATTTTTTCTCCTTTGGAATGTTGTATATATAGACAGCTATGCAACTTAGGACGGTATTAGTTCTGAATTTTTATATTTCTAGACTGTGTTTGTTGTGAAGACTGCCATTTCTTCCACCACAATTACTAATAACACTAAGATATTATTGCAAAGCATCCAGGCATCTCAACATATTTTAAATTGAAGTATTTTTAAATGTGTCATTTTTCCTCAGGTCTGCTTTAAGTGATGCTTACATCTCTTCATAAATTAGATCATGTAACTTCTATTAATTTATCTAATTTCACAGATTCCTATTTACATTAACTCACTGTGGAGCAGTTGAGCCTTATAAATTCCATACTTACACAGTTCCAAGAAATGCATAGCTCAAAACCTGCTGTGTCACAAACAGGTTCAGTTCCCGGGAAAGGTCCCAGCATAGCCAAGTTGCTAGAGGATGTGTGTTAAACACAGCCCAGTTGTACACCGCACCAGCTCCAAGCTGTCTGTGACAGCATGTTACCACTGCTTTCGCAAAGCTTCTTTTTATAAGAACAAACAAACCCCAAATCCACCAACATCATCTTTGTTGATTCAATCTCTCCAACCAATAAAAGAAATTGACTCTCCGATTAACTGATTTCATCTGTAGAGTAATAACACAGTCATGTATGAATTAAGCCTGTACTGTGAAGTTGATCTTTCCTGTGGTGAGTCAGTAACTAGGCTTTCTCAGAATTTTTTGTTGCAACTGACATGTTGATATACTCAACAGCGGATTAAGACGGCATTGCTGAAACTGGTACTGGCCCCAGTTGTCTGCCTTACCACCCCTCTAGAGATTACTGCCTTCCCGGCAGGGACAGCTCAACTGGTTCGTGACTCAGCTTCTGAACCACTGCAGTTTACAGACCAGCATATTAAGATAAACTAACATGGATGTCAGTTTATGCTAACGTACTGGGCTGCAAACTGCAGCAGTTCAGAAACTGTTTAACCATCTCTGCTGAAAGAGTGACGACTTTCAGAACAAGGTATAGAGGGTTAGTGGGGTTAGCACTTTCTACCATAGATTACCACCCCCAAAAGTTACAGCTGTATTTAAGTTACTCTGGCTTCATATTCTTGTGTCTGAAAGTAATGCTTTCAATTTCTGGTTTCTTAATTTTTATGTTATATATATCTATGATACCAAAGTAAGGGGTGACAGAGAAATAGTCTTCCTATTTATTCCACTGCTTTGAGAAATTTTCTCCTTGTGGTTAGCTTCCTGTAAGTCATTTTTCAGACTGAGTGTTTATTTCTAGTAGTTTGGTTAATTTTTAAGGCAAAATAATATATCTGCCAAAATCAGATGAGATTCTTCCCTTGCTGATTTGAAAGAAAGCAGGAGGTTGCCTTTGACAAGCCCGTTTGCTCGCTTTCTTTTTTTTTTTTTTTTCCTAAAAGGTTTTAGAAAAAACTACCTTGTCTTCTTGAAGAGGATAGTATTTCCTTAAAAATAGTCTTAATACCCTCCTTGGTTCTTTCAAATTGTTAACTTCTAAACTATTCATTGAATATGGTAGTTCCTTCATCATTTTAATGTGCATCTATTTTCTTTTTATAAAGGGCAAACTTCTTCATCGTCTCTCAACTCACTTTGGGTTCTGTTTGTATCCTCAGCTCACTGGCAATATTTTGCTAGGCTTTCCAAACATTAAAAGACAACAACTCAATGCTTTCACATAAATTCATTTATTATGGGGGAAAGGGCATGGAGATGGCACAGAAGGAAGGAGAAGAGAACGGTGACTATAGGATACTACAGCAGCTGTCACCATGGAGAGACACAGTCAGAAAAATCAGGGGTTAAGTACGGAAGACAAGATTTATCAACAAAGATTCATAGATCATATTTTAATTAACAAGTTTTTGTCACGTAAATGTATTCTTTAACTAAACCAGAAATACTACAACAAGGGTTTTGAAATTATTTAGGTTACACAGGGTATGACACAACGCTAAAATTTTGGATGGATTCAACTGGTCACAGACTAATTACTGCTGGATTAGTAACAGACAACAAGTTGTGCATTAATTCATTAGGAAGTAATTATTAGTCTTTTTACAAAGGAGAAAATGTCTGCCATTTAATAGTTGTATTTGTAAGTCCCTAGCTGTGCTTGTAAAATATCTAGAGCCATTAAGTTCAAAAGATTATTGCATTCTCTCGTAATAAAGCAAGATACGTGGAAATGCTTTAATAAAATGAAATCTCAAACCTTTTGACACAATTTTGAACACTAGTGCCTTGGAGTTAGAACTCAGGAAAGGCCAGAAGAAAGGCTGTAAGAAAAAGAAGTGGGGAAAAGCTCGTAATAGGTCTACCACTCCCGGCACTAAAGACACTTTTGTGGAACTCTTCATGCCAAGGCTTTTTTCCATAAGAAAAACTGTTACAGGACCAAAAAGTGGTGGTTTATACCTCTATAAGCATTTCAAGATTAGACTAAGTTCATCTGTGGGGGCTAATTTTTCAATGCACATCAGCTAGCAGCTAATAATTATTGTACTATCCATTTGTTTCTCACCAAGCCTTCTGCGCCCTCAAGACATAAAAATTAAAGCTTAAGAAAAGTACAGTTTACAGAATTTTTTAATACCACAAAAAGGTTTTAGTATCACTTTACAAAGAGTAGAAAGTATCCAATGCAACTGCAATCCAAGATGAAAAGAAACCAGACAGAGGATAGCAGTCTAGAAAAGAAGAATTTAAAGAATAGTTGGTTTTCAACAGGAATTTGAAGGTGAACTGTTTGGTAAACAGAATTTAAGAGACCACTACTCTCATTAGCAATTGTCTACTGAAAATAAGAGGCCATAAGAAAGTAATTTTCATTGCTTTATTTTCTGGTGTAATTTGTGCAAAAATGACTTAAGTAACACAGTGCACTGCATGGACTAGAAATCAGAAATTAAGTCAAGACTGTGGCATGAGTGTCCCTCTTCAGAGTTGCATTGCTTATCCTTTCACTGGCTTTTTCTCTCTTAAGATGGTGGTAACAAACCAGCAACATCATTTTGAATAAACTGGGGGCAGGGGGAAATAAGACAAAGCAGGAGACAACCGTGATTGTGAAAGGGGAGGGAAAGTCTGAAATGTCAAGATCAAAAGCTTTTCTCATGGGACCGACAGAGAACTTAGTATCAAAGGAGCAAGATAAAAGATTTAGTTAAATTGTGAGTTTTTTTCAACTGCTAGTCAGTGTTAGCGCCAGCTCCGCTGGCAGTGAGAAACCAGCAGACATTTATAGGCACAGAAATGGAGAGACACATGGTAGATAAATACTGAAGATCAGTTATGTCACATGAACTGAGTAGATGTACTTCAAAACTTTGGAGGATAGAAAGCAAGCTGCCAACTGGAAAAAAAAAAACAAACCACCAAACACCAAAAAACAGAGGAATGGATGTTGAAAGGTTTTCTCCTGATATTGTATAAAGGACAGAAGTAGCACATGAGAAAAATCACAGAAATATATAAAGGGCCAATAGGGAACAGGTGGAGAGTATAGAAAAAGCAAACCTTGAAAGCAGGATGCAATTGGGAAGATTTTGGCAGATGCTTTTTTTTTTTTTTTTTTTTTATTTTTTTTTTTAAGTAACAAGAACTACTTGACATCCTCATCCAATTTTAGAGCAGGAAAAGGAAAAAGAAGGGGAAAAGGTTTTAGGAGATAGGAAGGTGAAGAAAAGGAGTGGCTTAGAACAAAACTTGAACATGTTTAGGAGAAAACAACTCAACAGCAAAGGGAAGCAATAAAGTGAAGGAACTGATTGGATTTGCGCTTTGTCCTAGGTCAGTTCAACAACACAAGAGCAGAAACAGCTGTAGTCAATGCAGAGTCAACTAAGGCCAAGGATTAGAGTAACAAACAGCTTGTTTCAAGTGCAGAGTGAACGATTTAACAGAAAAGGGAGGGTAGAGGTGAAGCATTGATGGATCCTTTTATATCATAGTCTGTATTTCTGAAGAACCCACTTGATTTCCATCTACGTATGATTTGAAAATATCAAAACTAATGACACTAATAAGAAAGCTCTGGTGACTAATCACAGTATTCAAATTAATACATGCAGCAATCTAAGTTCATTATTTCTAAAAAATCTTCTTGGAATATTGATAACGCTTAGTTTCTCTGTTTCGGTAGTTTCTCTAAAAGTATCAACTCTTCCACTGCTACTTTAATAATTTATTTTAGATGACCCTGGGAAACAGCACATGACTAAATCAACTTGCACCCTGAAAAGTACTGACCATTAGAAAATCTGAAAGCTGCTTAGAAGTTATTAAAGATTTGTAAGCTGCTTTGGTTAAGTATTACAAAAAATCCCCAAAACCAGCCAAATATTTTGTTTTAAATATTTTGTTTGGATAAAGCAATTTATACACAAGTGCTACAGAAGTAAAGAAATATTCAGGTATTTAAAAATCACTGGATCTAATCCTTTCACTGTATCTTCGTTCAGACATGTAAATTTTACTCTTAAGTTTATCCAAAGACATTTTAAGAACAGACTTAACAAGGAATACATCTTACACGATTTTTTTCCTAATATGCTTGTGTATAATCTTAAAATAGGAGATGAAATAACAATTGCTCATCACACCATTCCAAACAGAGCTGAGAAAGAAGAAAAATATCAATTCCTACTTTAAGGAAGTTGAAGCCTTTGTAGTGTACACTGTAGCGCATTACTTAATATCCACATTATCAGAGTTCTTGTACTATCTCTCATTTCAGAGGTCTGCAATTGTTTTCCGTTGTTCAGCTTAATATTGTTCTTTATACTATCCCACAAATATTTATTATGAGTGGCAAAGTATCAGATAAAATTTTAGTAATATCATTGACAATCTTCATATTCCCATTAGCTTAGCTAGGAATGAGTCTTTGCATAACCGATAACTACATTCCATTATTTCCCACTAACCAGGAAATAAGAAATTTTGTCAATTGGAGAAGTCAGCATATGGATATATCAAAACAGGGCAAAAAATTGCCTTTTTTTTCCTGAACTTGAACCTCTGATCAATCACCTCTAATCTCAAGAAAAAAAATAGATAAAATTCCAAACAATTCCATACACCAGACCTGGCAAAAAATGTGTGTTAGCCCACTGTGTCATGTTAACAGTGAGATTCTATCACCCTTAGCTGTGCACTGCGAGAAGTGTATTTGTGGAATTAAGAATGCCAAAATCCAACTGTATTTAAAAAAAAATAGTAATCAGCTGGAATAAAATATATACAGAACTAAAAATTTCAACTAAATATTTCCATTTTTAAGTCCTAAGCCAAAAGCAGCTTGAAAGTAGTCCAGGACTATACATCCAAGACTTAATTGTTGATATTTTGTCAATGACAGTGGGAACACAATCTGGTTCCAGTGCCATGCCATGTTTTCATAGATGATTAGAGAAAAAATTCTTTAAAATGGGAGTGAATTATAAAACATCAATGTCCATATGTTTTATGTGGGACAGATGCCATTAAAATTGCATATATTTTGCCATTGAATTACTACCATTGTTACATGGTATGTTGATAGTTAAAAGACAAATAAGCTTGCAGATTGATCAAATAACAGCCCCATTTTTGAACCAGCAATGCACAATAAATTTACAAAAATCAACACAAAGTATCTATGCACAGCACATACATATACAATTGCATAAACCAGAAAACACTTACCTCACCAAGTCTTTATATAAAGCTTTTGTAGTTTCTAAGTATGGGCCAACTACATCTTCAAACTGGCAAAGAGTTCCTCCAATGCAAAGATGCTTAAAAAGACAGAACAGAAATTCCTTGCGATCCAATTGACTGAATAAGTCATAATGGTCTGAATCTTCCAGAAGCAAGACCTTGTGGAACAAGAAAATAACAAGTCAAACAGATGAAAATTTCTTATTTGAGATTAAGTTTATAAACAATGCAACTACTTTGTTGTATGTCACACAGAGTTTACTTCCATGTAAAACATATGAACTAGGGATAGAAATAAATAAATACTTAAGTACTTTTCTCTAAATCCTTCTTCCAATGATGCAATTATGTTCAAAATTTATAGATACAATATAAAGCAGAATCACTGTCAGATTTGTGCCCACAAGACATAAGGGAAGATTTTTCAAGAGTCTTGTTATTCACCGGTTAATTGCTCATCACACTAATGAAACAATCAATAATCTGAAAATAATGTAGCTATTTTTGGTGTGTCGATCACTGCCAATTAGTTTGTCTTTGGTAACTTTGCCTACATTTGCTTTTTTTTACTCTAAGTTCACACAGTTATCTCACATTTGTAAAGGAATCCCAAGGATCTCCCAGAGGAGATCACTCAAATTCACATCATTCTTTACTGCAGACTCTAGTGAGCCTTTATCTGTAGCCTGGATAAACCAGACATGCTATCCAGCTGCCTCCATGCGTCTCACCTGCCTTTTGCTGCAATATTATGTGACCGCAGAGGATTTTCTAGATTAGTCCCAACACTGCGCACTGTAAGGGTGGACAGGAATTGTAACTCAGTATGGCTACAAGATGTTTGAGTCACATCAGCCAAACTGCAGATGCCAACCCAGGCAAACTGGTCAAAGCTAGACATGAGCTTACCGCTCTCTGGCCCTCTTTATAACATCACTGCACAACCTGAGTAAAAAGGGGTCAGGGCAGCAACTGTTGTTGATGGCCACCTCATACGTATCCCAACCCCCTTCTTGGTTGAAGCAAGAGAAGATGTGGCAGGTAGGAAAGAAACATGGAGCTTTGCACCGAGGGCCACCCTCAGACACCAGGAGCTAGACGGTTTGCTGCCCCCTACAGTCTACCAGTGCTGACTAATTTAATCTGAAGTTTTGACGTCGTTCCTGGAAGATTTTGACTCTTAATTCTTTCTGCCATCTTAGGTCTTACGAGTAGGAATCACGTTCATTTCAAACAAATGTGAGTCCTTCAACTTGCAAATGCAGACACACACATCCCTTCCAAGGGAAGGAAAATGGAAAGAGACTGAAACTCCAATGATTTCTTATTTTAAATGTTGCCACTAACTTTCCTACATCCAATATACTTAATTTTCAGAAAACATTTCACACGTATCCGACTTATAAATAAATACATAGTATTTTGAACTGCTAGGCTACAAACCACATCTGAAATTCAAACATGAGCCTGAGTTCTCTCCTTTTCCCAGAACTTTACAAGACAGACCAGTATTTCAGGCCACATCCTGTAACCAGTGTCACTGGTTCAAATACATTGCCTTCAAAGGATTTGCCAAGTGCAAATGAGTGCAACTCTATAATTATTAAGTACTTATGATGATTATATATACAAGGAAGAGCAAAATCCAGTTCTCCCACACTATGCTTTGCTAATGCTAAACAAGCATAACTAAAAAAAATTGGTTTAGCTTATGAAGTCAAAAGAAACACTTACAGTGAAGACATACATCGATTAACAAGGTACCACTGTTAACGAGATTCTTTTTCAAAATAATCTGCTCTCTAACACCTGCACTAGAGTATAACAAACAGTTTTTACCTTGCAGGCCTGTTCAGGAGTTATATTTAGTCCTTTTCCAGTGTTACACTGAAAAATAATTTCCCTTTTCACCGTTTCCTCTCTTTTTCAGTGAAAATACATGAAGATGCCTTTCCTTAAATGTCTTCACATATGATATGGTCAGCATTCCTGGCCAGGAATGCTTTAGGATGTAGCTATTGAGCACATTTGATTTCATCAACTACCTGGAAGGTTGGGTGAACCCACAGCTCTGGATATCATGGGACCTCTACATTAGCACCACTTGTTTTCCCCTCCTAGGCAAATGAGTAGCTGCATTTACCCCACACACACCCCCAAGCACTGACTACTTGAGACAAGGGTGGGTAGAAGAAGGTTTTACCTTTTTCTCCCACCTAAAAAGGAAAGAGGGCCCACCTGGAAAACAGCCATTGCTTTCACACATTCAGGCACTGCAGTGCCTCAGTCGTTTCTATCACATGGCTATCGATGCCTATTTTTACCATGGAAAGTATGTATTCTCAAAAAAAAACCAACTGAAAAATGTGTCCTTACGGTACCTAATAGAGTATGAAAAATTATAAGAAATTATTCATTGCTATACTGACCTTTCTTAATTCATCAGAGATGAGAATATCATCGTAATAGTCATCATAACATTTCACAATATCTCCAGTTTCTCTAACAACTCCTTCAGAGTATAGCCGATCAAAAAATGACATGGAAATCTGTGTACAGGGCAGCGCTGTAGCTTCAACTTTTGTCACTTTGGAACCTGGAATATATAGGAAGGCTTCACTCCAAGTCTCTTGCAATAAATAAAATAGGAGAATTTCCATGTACTAATGGTTTTACAGTAACAAGTAATTTGACACAGTGTGGAAATAATCAACTTCTCTAAATGGTTGTGTGTGGCATATTCTTTAAAAAAAATACAGATCATATAAGTATGACTCAATCACACAGTCCCTCAAAAAACAAAGCAAGCTAAGAAAGAAGCAAGCATAAAGAAAACATTAAATTCATCTGAATGCTACCTTCCATTAAGGCTCATGTGTCTGCTCCCCCTGTTGGTAATACTATCAACTGAAACAAGTAATAGATGAAACACCATGTGAACTCAACATCACGTTAGATCACACCCTTAGAAAATCATATGCCACAGCTTAAGCCTTAAAGAATCTGAGGACAAATACCAAATCTGGCGTGATGAAGTACACGACAAAAGTCAATAGCTGCTAACAGCACCCCACAAAGCAAAAATCAAAATTAACACAGCACTGATGAATTTGTTAAGTATTATATCTCAACTTTTTGAAAAGTTACTTTGTAGCTACTGTAAACTTTACTAACCAGCTATTTGAGAAGATGAAAAAGGTACTGTCAGCACTTCCTCTATGAATCTGGAGTATTATCTCTGTAATCATGAAGTGCAGAGTACTTTTTTCTGTAATTTTTCTGTTTTCTGTGCTTGCAAGTCATCCAAGGCTTGATCGTGTTGCTTATAGACATCTAGTGCCATTTGAGATGCCCTACAGTGTTTTCCTTAATGAGGTATTGGTCCATAAGGGCACATATCTTTATATACATCTACCAATCTGTATGTGTGGTGTTGGATAACTTACAGCATCTCAAATAACATTAGACTCCATGTTTAAGAAGCTTTGAACTCAAAAGAGCAGTTCCATCTGCTCTCTACGGTCCAAGTGTTCAGACCAAATGTTAGAACATATTCTCTACTCATCTCCAGGTCCCCCTGAACGCCCTTCAAAGTGCTTCTGAACAGGAGAGGGGAGAGCACGAGTGAGCACGCAACACAAGGGCAATGTGTCTCGGCAGAGATAATAGTCACAGCATTCCAGCTTTCCATGAGTTTATTTGTATCATTTCCCCTCTGTAGGTTCCCTTGATAGGAGTCGGTCAACAATGACACAATGTCAAAAGGCTTTTGACCATACAGTTAAAGATAAAATTAAGTGGTGTCCTGACAAGCTGACCTAAAGGATCACTAAAGACTAGTATTTAGGAAATGTCCAAATTTCACTCTAGATGACAGTATTTCAGGAACAGAAACAGGCCAAAAAGGGATGTATGAACCATGATGCTTCCAAGAGCACCTGTCACTTCATTCTGATCCTAATCTTCGCAAGCGTAGCATAACCTAAAATTTCTCTTGCCCCCACACTTTCAAAAAGTCCTTGGGATTTCTCCCGTATATTATTACACTAAGATTATTTATTTATAGGTTAAGTAGGACTGGCATTTTGGTATCTAAACCCAGGTAAACTGTACCACCTACCTGATCAACACTAAGAAAAAAATTAAAGAGAAGTTATAAGTTGATGGCTTGAAAATGTGTCTACTTAGGCTAAAAATACTGGCATGAAATTTTATAATTATTTTATTGGACCCATGTGATGTAAAGAAAATCGGCTACAGAGAAAAGCTCAGCATTTAATTGCTTGGCTTCACGTCTACAGATATGGTTGTGAAAAAGGGTACCTTTTATTAAAGAAAAAAGGTTTAGGACATTCTCCTACCTGTCCACATAGTAAACTATCAAAAAATAATCAAATTATGTAACAAAAATCACAAGTCAGAAAAACATGAATTACAGCCTCACAACCTAAGAAAAAAAAGAGAGTTTTAAAAATTTATTTATTTATGCTTCCTCCCACCCCCTCACCTCCAGAATCCTCTGACTTTTATTAAAGAAAAAAGGTTTAGGACATTCTCCTACCTGTCCACATAGTAAACTATCAAAAAATAATCAAATTATGTAACAAAAATCACAAGTCAGAAAAACATGAATTACAGCCTCACAACCTAAGAAAAAAAAGAGAGTTTTAAAAATTTATTTATTTATGCTTCCTCCCACCCCCTCACCTCCAGAATCCTCTGACTTCTAATTCTCCAGCTTCCTTTCACAGGGATAGAATATTTATTTTATGAGATATTTAATAAGAGCTAAAACAGCCTCTAACATAGAAATTATTTTGTAAAGACCTATGAATCAAAAACTGAGTCAAGACTAATAAAAATCAGACGTTAAATGACTTGAGAAAAAAGAGACATCTTACATTTTCCCAGTTATTGAGCTCAAAGTATAAGAAATTGAGCTATTTATAGGCCTTCAAATTGCTAGGATTTTATTGGGGGAGGGGGAGGAAAGGAGACACACTTCTGCTCTGAAACAAGATTTTATGAAAACTTCCATCAGAAAAAAAAAATCAGGAGCTTTGTAATCTATTCAGTAGTTCAGAAAACCAACCTCTAAATGGAAAAGTTTAAATATACTGGAAGCTCCTGTTTGAGAGGTGAGATTTGAAATTGGAGATTCAGAATTTCCTGGAAAAGAGTGACCCAGTTTTAATAACACTGTAAAAGTGAGCAATAAAATATGAAGAAGAAATGCCTTGACAACTCTGCAAGTGGAAAACAAAGCTGAGAAGTACTGAAACAGATTAAGCTTCTTATAACTGCTAGCTCTGGAATATCTATAACTCCTGTTTGAGAGGTGAGATTTGAAATTGGAGATTCAGAATTTCCTGGAAAAGAGTGACCCAGTTTTAATAACACTGTAAAAGTGAGCAATAAAATATGAAGAAGAAATGCCTTGACAACTCTGCAAGTGGAAAACAAAGCTGAGAAGTACTGAAACAGATTAAGCTTCTTATAACTGCTAGCTCTGGAATATCTATAAAGTGCTGCCAATATACTTTTAAATGAACACGTTGCATATCTAGTATTGGGTACATACACCCCAGGTTAGGTATATTTAGAACTCCTCCAAAGTTTAAGAAAGATTCTTACCTCAGGGAAACATCTTGCAACTTACTATTTACAAAACAGTTTATATAGAACATACATAATTCAAGTTCAGTGCTTTATACTAAAAAGATGGTATTTCAAAAGTAAAAGGTGCAGGTTGATGATTTATAAGTTCAAATGACATCTAAAATTTTTGCAAATGATAACCTGTAACAGCAGTCTAAAAAATTGCTGATTTAAGATTACCTTCCAGATTTTAAAAACCCATTCCAAAGACAAGAATCGTTAGAGCTTGAAGTACATACGGCAACTCAAGAATCTTTCTTGGGCAAATCTAAATTTTTATTTACACAAGAAGACAGTAACCCTATCCCTTTAAAGATAACTTTTCAAGTGTTAATTGAGCTTAAGCAGATACAGTCCTGCCTCCCCAAGACTGCTGACAGGTGCAAGGCCAGTAACGGGTCCAAAGAAAAACTACTATTTAGTTTTCATTGCAGCTATTTAAAAATACAAGACTCAAGACATAAGCTGGTATGCATCAAATTTGTTCCTTTTGCTGCTTCTATTTTAGAAATATGAGAGTAACACATGACAGAACTATCAGGTACTCTGCCGTGCAGCCAGGAAGAGGGGAAAAAATATCCCTACTACAACACGCAAAAAAGTGTGGTGTGAGAATAGGTAATTAAGTATCTGTTTGATCCTATGAAGCAGACTAGAGAATATCCTTGTGTATTGTTTACCTAAAATGTTATATTTCAAGTAATGTTAAAGCTGGAGTCCTTGAGACAATGTACTATTGTGGGATTCTACCAGGAATCCCAACACGTGGGGGAGCTGAGAAGAGAGGTACACGTTGCATTCCTTGGGGACCCCATGTTTTATGACACCTTTTGATCTAACAGATGGAGACTGAGGATATTACGGTCTGATAATATTAAGGTGAGGATGAAAAGCAGTCAAGAGAAATAAAAAATGAGATTGGACACAGAAAAAAAAGTAATGAACTTTTAGAAACAGATTTTAGGAAAAGGAGATAGGCAAGTAACAGAGAAGAGGTAGACATAAATATGAATGTGAAACCATGCCCACTGAATTAAAAAGAAAAATAAATTCTTAGTGAGAAGGTAAAAGGGCACCACAGCCTGGAAAAAGACAAAAGGATTACGAAAACAAACACTCTTGTAAAGTAATATTATATTGATGTTTTATATAATGCTGACATCTTTCTGTGGGTCCATAGATACTTTCTGCTCAAGCCATGGCGGGGGTGGGGAGGGAGGTTTCTAAGAACCTATCTAAACCCTGCTTATATTATGCAGCCAAAATATTTCCCCCCTGCAAAAAAACCCTAACATTTTTGTTTGCAAGAGAATAAATAAAGTATTAAAATCAACCCAGATTATGTAATTTTCTTCATATTTTCTAACAAGCAAAATAAGCCCATTTCCAGCATTTTCTTTCAAGAACAGGAACTTATTTTTAAAAGAGTTACTCCACAGTGATAAGTAAATGATATATCTGGATTAATATATCAGCATGTCTGAAGAAGAAAATACTAGAAGATGATTTTTTACCTCCTCCCACTCAAAGCTAATTCTTACTATATTTTCAAAAAATGCGCATGAAGACTAAGTATAGAAAAATGTGCCAACATTCCTCACCAAAAATAGGCAAAGAATGGGAAGATGAAATTTTAAGAGCAAATGGGGTATACCAGCTGTTCAGGATTTAGAAAGGGAACCCTTCCAGTCCTCAGAACAAAATGCATTATTTCTGTGCTGAGGAAGATTGAGCAGAATCAGGAGTTAAGCTGGGATACTTGGCAAGTGACCCTCCACTCTTAACACAAGGTATGTAACCTACTGACCTTCACTACAGGGACTGGCAAGTCATAGGCTAGACAGATAGCCTAAAAAAATTCTTGCCTAAAGCAGGAAAAGGTTTACCCATGGTTTGAAATATATTTATTTTCTTTCTGCTTGCCAGAGTGAAAAAGAGGTACCTGAAGGGGGACTCGAGATATTTTTTGCATCTTATATATCTCAATTGTTTTAACAGCCAGATAGTGTTTGGAAAATGGATTTTGCTGACAAAAAGGTGGCAATGACTAGTGTCACTGTATATAGTGGGGAAAACCTATGCCAATTCCAGAGAGTTGAAATGGAAAAGGTAGAAAATTCCCAAAGCTCCATTAAATATTTACACACAGTAAAGTATTTGCAGACAAACCAAAAGAACTGAGGACTTCCCACTACCCCCTTTTAAAATATTCCTATTAAGGAAAATCACTTTGGCGATATCAGAGTTCACATTATGCATAAAATCCCATTACATTATCACATGCAATTTCCATGAAATTTTGTGTGTTATTTACATAATCAAAAATACAATTTCAAAGTGGTGCCATGTGCTATTCACTTTTGGTCTTTCTCCTTTAATGTCTCATCTCCATCTACAGACATGATCAAGTGTTATAAGCAGCTAATGATACGGCAACAAACTAGAAGTCAACCTTATGCCATGGTTGCAACTAGAGCAACCTATCACATGGCTCTCTTTCTGCGCCCAGATCCCTTTTGTTGTGCAGATAGCGTATTTACACAAGCTCAGGGGTGTGCTCTATCTAATCTGCTCTCTCAACTTTAATTTGTAACAGAGCAATAATCTCGGATCTGTCCTAAGTAAGGTGGTTGCATCTATAGAAGAGTGTCTTTCCCCAAATATTCTCTGAATAAGGTAGTACTATAATTCCACAATTAACGCAGTTTATTATGTCTGGATACACCATCAGGACAACTGGATGTCACAGACCATTTAAAAACACTTCTAGTAGCTTGGTTTATGGATTGATGCAGGGGTCAAGGAAAAAAAAGTGTAAAATGTGACAATTTAGTAACAAACTAGGTAAGAATCTTTTCTTATTATTTAGTAAAAGAACTCATTCTTTAAGATATTTCAACCAGGTGAAGATACACATATATGAACTGTCATTATTACAAAATGGTAAATTAGAGGAAAATAGTTACAACACAGACTTTTTTATTTAAGATTAATTTATTCTAAATTTACCCAATGTAGTCCATTGTCCTGAAGCTGAGAGCAACTTTAAACTGGAGCTCACATTTTGATCATTAAAAAATGCCTATAATATTCAAATAAGAGAATACAAGTTAATGAAATGAAACATAAAATCATCATTTATAGTGCCTTGGATACCTTCAAAGCAAATTATAAGGACCCAATTAGTAAGTAGATTCTGTATGATCTTTCAGTTTGGGTACTAAATATCACACCATCAAATACGTGGTTTTGTAACTTTGTGTAGCCAATGTCTTTTATATATTCAAGATATCTTCATGTACATATTTATATATGCAGTATTAAGGTTTTACAGTAAAGCACTTTTAGTCCAAGAACACGCAAAAAGGTTGTATGAAATCCTTAGAGGTACAGAAAATGGAAGAAGAGATGAAACAATTGTATCTCTGCATGCAATGTTGTTGAAGTCAAAAATGAAATGCTAAGCAGACTGTAAAATTTATATTTTGTAAATAAATTTGAAGCTTGGAGAAGTGTAGAGACACACAAAACTTACTGAACAGGTACAGAAGAAATCCATAAGTTATTGAAGGGATGGAGATGTTCCACAGTAAGATTTGAAGTATTCAATCTTACTGATTTATCAATTAAAAAAAGGAGACATGCATAGTAATGTTGGTAGCTGACAAGTTTAAATGATAGATAAGCCAATTAAGAAAACCCACACTTATGTATATGCATACAAGCAGAGTGAATAATCACTGAAGAAGCTGCTAAGAAAATGGTGGATTTTTCAGTCTCTGCATCACCAAATAAATCTCTTTACCACCTATTTCAGATACAGAGAGATCAGACTATATAACGTAACGGTCCCTTTGTTCTCAATTAATTCACAGCTACTCAGAATTCATCATTTCATAGTGGTATTTTTACATTTTTAATTCAAAAGAGAGAAGCATTGAGAAGGTAAATGCATATTTTTTTAAACTTCAATCATTTGAAATGTTTATCAGTGGCAGATGAAATATTGGTGTATTTCTTTGTGAATTTCTTTAAAATACAAAGAGGCTGAATTCTTTATCCAGGATAACAATATAAAGTAGACATACAACAAATTAAAAAGTTGTTTTTAAAACAACAGATGTAAAAACCACACTGTTTTTAAAACCACAGATTTTTTTTTTCCTGTCTGCAAATAGATGAACAGATTTGACTTTGCAGACAACAAAAGCAAAGGACACAAAATCAGCAAGAGACTTGAGTCTCAAAAAGCTGAGAGCCCAAAATTCCAGTATAAAGCAACAGGATCCAATAAAATTTAAAATCTTGTATTTTCAGATATATGGTGCATATGCACGTCTAATTGCACAGTGTTTTTACTGTGACAAAGCAGTAATAGCTGTGAGCAAGGGTGCCAACCGGGTGGACTTCCCAACATTAAATATGGTGGCCAAGATCAGCATCCAGTTTAGATTCCCATTCTTGGGAATCTTGAATGACTGAATTGTTCCCTCTTAAAAAAGAGTAACATTAGTACAGACTAAAATATTTTTACTGGACAATACAGTCCACCCACAAAGTAAGACTTGAGCACCACACCTAAATCACCTACTTTCAAGGAGACAGTGAGCAGGCGAATAGCATGCTAACACTGCTGCAATGTTTGCCATTATGCAGTTTTCCAATAGCTATGATTTCATGGAAAAAAGTCAACTTAAAATATAAAGGACTTAGAACTACCATAACAAATTCATCCTTTTGATAGGGCTTAAACTGCTGGTCAAAACTGAATGCTTGTGCTGTGATCCTGCCTTGCATGGACCTGAAATGGAAAAATGAGATTAAATATTCTGCAGACATACTAGGTACTTATTCACTCTGCAAATTTGCCTAGGTACACTACATAAAGTCCTATTCTGACCAATAATTATACTTTTTTATTCTTCTTTTTTTCATTCTTACTTATAACCCTCCTTGGAGGGGTGGGGGAAGCACAACCGCTGCGAGGTTGTGCTGCACATCAGAGCAACGCTGCGAAGCTGAAATAGATCTTGGCTAACTCTGGAAGAAAAGGATAAATACCTTGCACCTCAGAACAAGCAATTTACCTGCCTGAAAAATACCGGGGAGACTTCCAATTAAAGCGGGGGGGGGGGGGAG